AGGCCTCACTTTCAAGTCTGGCATGCCCTCACACGCAGACCCGAACACACTGCCCTCCTAACTCATCAGATCACAGCAGCAACGTGCGAATCGGCGAGGGTTTTGACAGGCCGCAACAGAGAGACCTTTTTGAGCCAATCCGTTCCCTCCTGTCGGACCCCTGCACATGGCTTTCGTCCGTTGCTCAAGTCGAGGATGTTGGGCCATCATCGCTGTTGGTGTTAATCTTTCACACTCCCACAAGTATGCTCCAGGATCTCGTATGTCCGACCCACTAAATATCCCAAGCCTCCTTTGGAATTCAAGCACCATGCAGACCATGCAGTTTTCTCGTCGTCTATTGTATTCTCGCTTGCCTCCAGCTCGTGAAAGCACTGACAGACAGAGCAACTGTGTGTCAGTGTCTTTCTGCTTGAATAGCCTTGTCAGAACCAAGCTTCGTAAAGACAGGGCCTCAACCACAGGCAGGACAAATTCACGAATTCCTTGTGTTAGCGCCTCTCCACAAGCTCTCTCACGTTGTCCAGTTTTATCGCACCAGCAGAGTACTGAATTCATAAATTCATTTGGCATGCAGTGTGCATCATTGTTCAGGAGTCAGTTGCCAGCGACGGGGTCTTCAGCCATGATTGCAAGCGCGGGTTAGTGGTTTCTAGACCCCTAGGGTTAGGGAAGGAGTGAGCCCACACGAAAGACCCAGAACCTAGAGAAACGAACCCCGGCATTCACATCCACTGATTTGGGAATCCTTAAAGCTTCAGGGGCCGAGGGGGGCCCAGGGTCAAGGCACTCCCCCACAGGACGGGCGGAGCGGTAGGGCGGCGCCCATCACCCGTCCGAGACATGATGTAGCCCAGCTTGATGTCCTGTGGGCATGATTTGTGAGCTGTAGGGAGGTTAGGTGGGCTGTAGGGACCAGTTAGGTGTTGGGTCAGGGAGTCGGGGGGTGAAAGAGCTGGGGCCTTAGGCAGGTGTTAAGGGTGTCAGTTTGGGTAACAGGAACGGACTGCCGGAGGACGTGTTGCTGAGGTACAACTATACGGGACTGAGCGCTGGGCTTGTGGTAGTATCTAGGCTTGGGGGGAGGGTACAACAAACGCACGGTGGGTCACTGAATAGTGGGAGCCGGACTCACACATGACGAAGCGCTGGGCTTGGTCCCCCTGGGTCACAATGCACTCGCCGTGTTTTGCATGCATTCGATCGTCGAGCCGCACCGCCTTCTTGAATTCAAAGTTCGAGCGTGTTTGCGTTTGCCACGGGACCCTACCGGTCTACACACGGCATGCAGCTTGCTTGCTATGCATGGAGTATTTATGCAAAGAATTCGGCTTTCATGCTGTATAAATTCAGCATGCATAAAATTCGCCCATGCATCAGTACAGCATAAATTCACATGCAAGTGCGGCCTAAATTCGCCTCGGGCTAGCAGCTGTTGGAGTCCTTGCAAAAACCGCCTCATGGGCGAGCGGCAAGTGTCCGTCTCACAGGGCACCACCCAAGAGCTGGGACAGAACGGCTCTCGGAATACATATGACCCGGCCGTCCTGAAGCGTGAGAGGCGTCAGGACAGGTCGCCCCACCGGCATCGGGAGCTGTTCATCAAGGTTGAGCATAGTGGGGCCACCAGGTGTTGCGGCCATGGGGGTTGGCTGAGGCTGCTGTTGCCAGCCCGGTGCAGCATGCGGCGGAGAAGATTGGTCCCCGCGCTCCTGTGCTTTCTCCTCCTGCTGCAGTTTGATGTCCTCGACGAGCCCCTTGACATCTAGTACCAGCTGCTGGGTGTCGTTGAGGGTGTCCCGGAG